ATGAACCAATTTTGAAAACATTTATGCCACTTCTTCGTGACAATCTCTGAAACATATTTTTCATACTCTTCGACAGCCTCTTCAAGTGATGAAAATCGTTGACCGCGTAACTGGTTCTTAATTTTTGGAAATAATTAAAAGTCACAAGGTGCCAGGTCGGGACTGTACGCGTGATGGCTCGTAAGGTCAACGTTGTTCACCTTCAAAAATTCATTTGTCTGTCTGGCCGTGTAAGAACTGGCATTATCGTGGTGCAAGATGATACGGCGTTTACGGTTATTTTTACGGAGTTTAGCAATAACTTCCGGCAAACAAATGGTCGTGTAGCAATCACTATTCACGGTATAACGATTCTCCAAAGCAACAGTAGCCACGTGTCCAGTTTTATTAAAAAAAGAAGCAATTATCCGCTTAGAGGCACTTTGCATGCGCGCCACTTTGGTTGGTTTCGGCTAGTCTTGAAAGACCCATACGCTCGATTGCTGCTTTGTTTTGGGATTGTAACTATAAATTCATGTTTTCGTCACCTATTACTATGTCCCACACCAAATTTGACGCCCATTCGTTGAATCTGGTGAGCATGGCATTGCACCAAGTAATGCGATGCGTTTTTTGAGCCTTAGTCAAATTGTGTGGGATCCACCGAGAGCACAGCTTTTTCACACCCAAATGTTTATGTAGTATTGATTGTATTTGACTCATATCTATGCTTAAAGATCCCTAATCTCATGATATGTTACATACCTGCCTGTTTTGATCATACGGCGCACAGCATCAATGTTTTTGTTGTTCACAGCAGTGGACGAGCGACCATCACGAAATTCATTACTGAGATTCATACGACTGCGTTAGAAGTCTGCAAACTAGCTATAAATAGTCGCCTTGCATGGTGCTTCATTGCCAAAAGCAGTTTGAAGCCGAGAGAAGCTCCGCTGAGCTGTTAACTTCCACTTAAAATCGTAGAAAATCATACTACGAAAATTTTCACGAGTTCAATCAATCGTGATGTAGACAAACAAGTTCTAAAATGAAGCCACAAAAACAAGTGACAGTCAGATGAAACAAACTGTATTCTACAGCCAAAGAGTTCCATTTTCAAATGTTGTAATTACTTTTCAAACATTGTTTATCCGGAACTGGCCACTTATGGCCAGTTCCGGAAACTTATAGTGCGCCCTATGTACTTCCACCTAAACGCCATCGCAAACCCGCCTGCTAAGCGTGGCTATTATGACAAAATCTATTATTCCTTCTCGAGCATTCTCGAGTGTCAACCGCGTACTAAAAGACACAGCGTGGGCAGACCATCCACAACGTGGACCGAAAACCTGGTGAAAGTTGCGAAAATCCGCTGCATCCAAGCACCGCAAGTCCGGTCGTTGTGGTGATCTTTATGGGAGCTATGTCCAGTGGACGTCTTTAGGCTGAAATAGTAATGATAATGGTTACATGTAATATGATCAACAGTTGTGTATTTGGAGGAGTGTTAAAACAAGATAATAATAAACCACTTCAGTTTGTACACTAACAGTGCAAAAGCTTCGTGTTAAAAACAGAAATGTAATCTGTAACAATTGTTATGATTTACGAGGTAATATCTTATATCTCGTGCCACACTAGTTATTAAACAAATACTGATCTTGGACATCAATGCTTAAAAATAATAAATAAATAATATGCAACGTTAAAGTTTGAAGTCTGGAGTCTAATAAATCTGTTTTTTTTTAGTCCTTAGATAGTTAACATACAGGCACGATATACTCACCGAAATAAGCCGTGTGTTTTCCGCCTTATCTTCCGAGGACCACCCACCTCAAAGGTATCAAATACAACGGAAAACAAACGCCAAAGATAAAAAATTCATTCGACATAACTTCTCTCCTTTATTTTTTTAAAGTCTTGTAAAACAAAGATATATAACACACAAACAAACGCCTCCACTCATCGTGTTAATTTATAGTTCATTTTCAAACAAACAACGTCTGACTGAAATGGTAAAGTCATCAACCATTTACGTCTAATATTAATAAATAATAAAAAGATATTTACGACATTTATATAGGAAAAAAAATAGTTTCATTTCCAATGTATAGCAACCCTAATAACTGGTCGTGGCTTCTCACCAATTTTACGATATTATTATTATTATTAACTATTGGTATTTTTAATTATTTTCGGGAAATTGATTGAAAGGTTATGTTTTATAAACACCAAATGAAGAAATAAAGAAGAGTTATTAAATATTAGACTACATAACATACGTTGCTTCGATCCCAAAGTAAGTAGCTAAAGCACTTGTGTTATAGAAATCGGAAACAACAACGTTTCTACAAACACTCAGACCCGAGACAATATAGAAAAGTTAGATTTTTCTTCATTGACCCGGCCGGGGATCGAACCCGAAACCTCTGCGTGGCAGACTAGCATGGTAACCGTTCGGCCATAAAAAAAATTTGCAAAATCATACCTTTTCAGGAGAAAAGTTTAAAGATTCTCCGAATGAAATTAGTCAATAATTAATTAAATTTTGATTGAATTGATATTCAATTATTTTTTGTGAAATTACTCCACTAGTTTGTTATAATTATTTAATTAATACAGTGAATAGCGACATCTCTCGCCAGGACTGGTAGCTGTAAAGGTACTAACTGGGTGATAAATCTGTTAAAGATTTCTCATAGATGGCGCTACGACTAAAAAGTCGTTGAAAGACCAAGTACAAAGACACGACGCAAGCACATAGAAAAATTCGTGAGGTTCGTTGGTTCGTTCCGTGGCTTAGTTGGTATAGCGTCTGGCACGGTATGCAAGAAGACGTCGGTTCGAATCCGACCGGATCGAAGGAATTTTTTCTGAGTGTTTTTTCTGAGTGTTCGATCTTTGTATTAATAATTATAGTCAATAATTTTTATAAATTTCTCTCTTAAAGAGAGAAAATTTTTAAAAGTTCGCTTAGACATAATTTGTTTCATGTAGTACTGAAGTTTTCATAAAGTTCACGCTTCTGACGTACGATCGCATGTGACTTTATTATACGCAGGATACGAATCAGATTACAGTTTTAAAATTGTATTCTAGTAAAGTCTCTATAAATAATGGGAATAAATAGGAACATCAGACAGATTGATCAAAGATGGTGATTATGCGTAAAGACGCGATTTCGCTTTGATAAAACTGTCTATGCTACGCTGACGTGACCTATATTTTAAGATTGTATTTATATAACTTCAGCTACATAAATATAACACAGCAGTGTTTTCGATATTATTTTAATTATGGTTTATAAGTTCCTAAAATAATCACGATTGAATTCAGAAAGTATAACATAGGATTACATAAATGACATAAGATTAGTAACCGACTCGACTTCCCAGCTAAAAGCTCTTTGGGCTCTAAGTGAAAAGGATTCGATTTCGAATACCGAAAAGCTATTGAGGGAATTAAATATTTATTCTGTTCTGAGTCCTCTGGTTAGTGGCATCAGAGTTAGTCTCTCTATTTGAGACCAGGTGTTATTGTAAGGCACAATACTGTAAATATTTTTATTTACCCTAGACACTCAACCCAGAGCAAATCTGACACGGACTTTAGATTGTGGAGGAAGAGACCAACCTGCCGTCTATGCAGGGCGTGACAGAAGTAAGTAGTAAGGCATTTACTTATTGGGGCAGGTAATCAGGTAATGTTGCCAGGAATGAGCGTTGATTTTGTTGGGCTTCGTGATGCCTTGGTGGTTTACCTTGGGTAACATAGCGTCCACATCCACTGAAGTCGAGTAGGGTATGATCCAACATTTGTTTCCCCTTCCTAATGCTTGTCAATTCTATACTTATTTCTTCTGCTACCTCTTAGTATACATTTTTTTTATATAATAATGTGTTTCTGTGTTATTTTTATATTTATGCCAAATGAAAACGCGTTTATTTCATTATCGTAATTATTTTGCCGAATTATTACAGTTATTGACATAACTGTAATAATTCGGCAAAATAATTACTGTCAAGTAATGCCAACGTGATCACAAGTAGCTCAATACATGTAGAAATAATATAGTTTAAATTTTAATCTATTCACTTTTAAACACAATGATGTTTCGACATATTATTAATTGCAGTGTTAAATTATAATTGAATGTTCAACTCGTAAAAATAAACTAGACATTTTGTTTGATAATTTCATTCGTTATTGAGCACAACATGTGTCATTGCGCAACAACAACAATATCTAAAATAGATCACAAAAGTAGCTTGTCTATTGTTTTTCTTTAAAAATATTCTTAGGGCTTCGATCTCAATGGGCGTTTAAAACCTTTTCCTGCTTGAGATCCCTCGGAGATCAAAAATATTATGTAATCCTTAATAAAAACAAAACTATTTAGATAAAAATCGTTTGAGAAACTCGTTCACTATCTTAATTTTATGAAGTTACGGACGGACATATGGATCCTGCAGCATCATTAGACTTCATCGTTCTTTCTCAAAATCCAATGTAATTTCCATGGATTTATTTTATACTAAAACGGAAATAATATTAAAATATAATTAATACTAATTTAAACTAATACACACTGATAGAAACCCGAATTGATTAACTCCAATGAAGATCATAAGTTTCATGTTCACAAATAATATATTTAGATCTCTACATGTTAACTAAACAAGGTGTTTATATTAGTGCATTTTAAACGCATTTGAAAACAAATACTAAGACGCTCGCCAATTATTTATTATCTAAACATCCTCTCACGAAATATATACCGAGCACAGCCGCTTTCAAAACACCTGATTCCCCCCAAATCCGACAATTTGGAGCATCGTGGCCTGGTGTGCGCCCGCTCATTTGACGGTATGGCTCGTAAGTGCTTTATTTATTTATTTTTACCGACAGCCTGATCGCACATCTTAGTATCAATATAGACTTCGTATTGAAAACACCGTGAGACCTTGCTGGATGACATTACCGTAAGATCCCGTGGTCAATACGGTCGTTGGGTGTACTACATGGATTTCGGTTGTAACGACAAGGACTCTGGCGAAGTGGAGTGCTACCTAGAAATACGTAAATAGTTTTTTCGCTAAATACTGTAATGAAGACGACGGTAATTTATTAGCTTTCGCTTTGTTTTAGGTGCATTGTAATTGATATTTTTAGTTAGAATCAGTATGTTTTTGGGTCGTGTAAACATTCGGGCTCTTCTGTCAGTAAGTTAGTCGGTATGTCAGCGCAGTCTGTGATTGTTAGCCGACTCAAACGCAGTTTTACGAGCGTGTGTTATTGTTTTTCGGGGAGTTTAACTCAAAATGCGAACTGCTAGTACTAGACGTGACAATGTTCCTAGTCGTAAGTAAAACAATCCGTTAAGTGCTTTTTGCAAAGTTTGTAAATAAAATCGACGGAAATAACCTCTAATTTTAATATCGTTTGGAAATTTTAGATTACGATACGAGTACCACTTGTGCTATCACAATACAAATGCGTAAGTACCGTTTAATTCGAGTGCAAAAATACCGCGAATTAACCAGCGCTTACCTTGTTAGGTGGCTTCATAATCAAATGACAATCCTCACACTAGTCTCTATGTAATCACAATTTCACTCATAGAAAAGTCATGTCAAAAGTTATTTAACTAAATGAGTGACCAATAGTACCTATAAATATTATTCCACCTAGCTAGCGGTGGTACTATGTGAGCGATGCGGATACGGTACAGAAAAATCTAGTAAACGCACATTTGTATTTCTTTGTGGCAGCAAACCCCGAAGCTGCAGGATGTGTAGAGAGATTAGCCGCAATCCTGTCCTTCTTATTAGTCATCGTCACTTTTCCCTTTTCACTGCTCGAGTGCTTTAAGGTACGTAAATAAGATTCTATATTGATATACTCATTGTTGACTATTTGTACGTCTAACGTTTTTCAACACCATTTTTTCTGAAAAGGTCTTTCTGGGTGCGCCACCCACTTTACTTACTTAACGTGATTAATATAACTGTAGCGCTATGTAAACCTACAATTTTACCTAATTGATTGGTACAATGTACGCAAACGCAATGTATCTTGCAAACAACAGAGCATCATAAATTTACGCCCGAAACACTAGCCTACAACTCCATGCGACCGATTACGCGAGAAGATCTAATTTTTGAGCTAGCTGCTTAAACAATCACTGACAGATATTGAGGTAGAAAATGGAAAAAACTTACCTAAATTAAATAGCAACTGCATGTATAGTAGTGGTGATAGGTCAATTTCACCAAGAAAAATGTTGTATTTGTCAGTATATAGATATAGTTTAAAACACTTTATGCTGAAAACAGGTAGTTCAAGAGTTCGAAAGGGCGGTCATATTTCGCCTAGGGCGACTAAGGAAAGGTGGTGCCAGAGGACCAGGATTGTTCTTCGTACTGCCATGCATCGATACTTACAGAAAAGTGGACTTGAGGACAGTTTCTTTCGATGTTCCACCGCAAGAAGTAAGTTACTGCGTTTGCAATGTAATCCATTAAATCTTTAGGTTATACACTCCCACTTCTTACCACAGCTACACTAAATTATTTTAAAAACTATATTAATCACTCGCTATGCCCCTGCAGCTAATGTTTATTTATTTATTGCAAACAATGTTAGTACAGACATTACGAAGGTAATTACTAAGAACAAATTTATCAAATATATATATAAATTACCTACAGTACTCAGGTTTCAGAAAAAACTTTTGCAATTAAATGAAACAATTGTAAACAATTTATTGACTAATAAAATTTACTATGTAGTGTATACTAATAACAAATTCCTAACTTCATTATCTAATATGTAACATTTTATATTTATTTTGACATTTTTAGTTTTATTCATTATGATAACGTACACACACACTCAACATAGCCCCGCACTAGGGAAACCCTGTGTCGCGGGTGCCATGGACACACACGTAGACAACCACAAATTACACCCAAACTCGCGAGAGAAATAAATGTAGGCCATACAAATATTTCTCCCGACCCGGGAATCGAACCTGGGACCTCTGCATGGCAGTCCGGCATGGTAACCGTTCGGCCACGGAGGCAGTTAAACATTGGATTGGATTCATTGGACATTTACGTACATTTTTAAATTATTAACTGACTTATTAAATCCAGAATAGTACACGCCCATGTGATACTATTAAAAAAAATACATATTATGAGTAAATGTATGATATATCTTCATTGTGTGTGTATGCCTAATGTTTGACCGGACACAGTGAAAGTATACTTATTTTGTACATGTCACCTTCCATACAATCTGTGTTTTCACAAATAAATTAATTATAATTATGTAGTGTATTGTAGCAAATAATTAGTACTGAAAAGGTTGTAAACCGTCAATAGGGAGCAATAATAATAGATTACTCGGTTCACGTAATTTATTCTTTATAGTAAAGGTGAAGAAAGGAAGAAAGGCTGTAACAATAAAAATAGTATAAAAAAAACAGGCATAATACTAAAAAAACACTCGCTACTTAAATACTACGAAACATGTTTGAGACAGTAAAGAACTTACCATGAACGGGCCGTATTTTTTACAAATATTAGTTATGTTACTTGATTTTAAAGATATTAGACAGGTTACATGATTTAAATCGGAAACCGGTAAATGGATCAAAATTAGTGGTGAAGACGAGCAGGAGTGCTCGCTTTAGACATTAAGTAAGCAAAGGAATTAAAGAACAATTCAAAATTTGAGAAAAGTGGTCAGGAACCAGAGCAAAAGTGATAATAAAGCGGGATGACGATGAGGGAGGTTGCATCGTCACAGTACTTTCTAATAAAATTAACAAAAATAAATATCGACTTAAAGTTCTTAAATTAAACACAAAATTAGTTGAAGAGTCTGTTATTACATTACAGAAGAGTTGAAGAGTTCACTGGCTCTTTCACATCATCTTATAAAAGTCCGCGTAAAATTTTTGCAATACATTATATATTTTGACAGTATTTATGTGGTCTGTGATTTTAACACTCTAATTTACCCTCATTCAGGAGTTGTTTTGAAAAACCCTGAAACCCGTATTTATTCTATATTTAAAGTACCTAAACAAAGTTTAAAGCAAATCGCACCACGCGTTAAAAAATTTACGTACAAATAATTTTACCGCTATATCGAATATGTAGGTATACTAAGTTTCATCTTTGTGAATATGACGCTGATTTTTCATACAAACCTCTTTACCATTTTTCACCCTCTTACAGGTTGAATTTCGAAAAACCGTTCTTAGTACCTACATTTAAACCACACTCATCCCCGCAGTCTACACTAGGAAAACCCTTTGTCGCGGGTGCCATGGACACACACATAGACAACCGCTAATTACACCCAAACGACGAAATAAATGTAGGCCATACAAATATTTCTCCCGGCCCAGAATCGAACCCGGGACCCCTGCATGGCAGACCTGTGTGGTAACTGTTCAGCCACAGAAACAGTTCAAAAAATAAAAGAACAAACCCTCCATTTTTTAAGTTTCTACAATTAATAGTTTTTGCTGTGCCTATCTACTGGTGAAATGCTCCCACCCTACTCCTTTATTATGTGTATATAGATTATTATTACACGCCATGGTACGCTGTTATTTGGTAACAGGTAACAATGCCCTCATGTGTTGTGTACCTACTTAAATGCTTAGAATAATAACGCATAGAAACCTAGCCCGCACACGCTAAGTGAGGCAAGTTAGAGGGTTCCAAACGCGTCCCAGGAGCGCGCGGGCTGTTAGTGCTCAAGGTCATATTGCACCGCGAACAGCTCCAAAATTTTTTGCTAAAAATGACGAAATGTGCGGTAAATGGGTGTAAAAATACAACAGACAAACATAAAATAGACACTAACATCGCATTCCACAAGTAAGTAATGCGTTTCAACTCATATTTTTATGTAAATATTCACTAAAACAGAAAAATAATTTCGCGGCAACAAGATACGAAAGTGTTGCAAAGTAACGAATTTTTTTTCTCCCCATTTTGCTATTCTGTATCAAAATAATTATATTACGTAAATTTTAGTGGTGCCTGTAATTTCGATTTATTTGCGCATCTTGAACTAATATTTACTTTAATAAACATTAAATGTTTTCGTTAACTCCTGTAAGTGATTGGGACACTTAATTATTTTATAATACTTTTAACGGCTCTGCGTTCATGCTTTATTGAATAATTATTTATTTTAATTTTATTTGAATTGGAGCACATATTGCAACAAATTTACAGTACTTATATATTTGTTTCTACTATAGTGTTGGCACCACCAGTACAACTTTGATAGCTTATTATATGTCTTTCTTTTCGTAACTCAAGCGAAATATTTTATATTAAAATATTTTATTTTCTTAAAAGGGGAGCATTCTTAAGCGATTTTTTAATCTATTTTAACAGTTATTTTCTTTAATGTTTGCTTATGGCATTTTCGGTTTCAGGTTTCGAATATGGCACTTATTTCTAAATCCAAGATGCGGGCGCGATTTTTCGAATAATGGCAAGTTGGATATCGTTTTCGAGATGTTTGGGAATGTTCAATACAAATATGGCACTCATTTCTAAATCGAAGATGGCAAACACGACAGTTCAAACAAAAGCAATATTCGTAATGAGCACCCCCAAATACCTCGAAAACGATACCCAACTTGCCATTATTTGAAAAATCGTGCCCGCCATCTTGGATTTACAAATAGTGCCATATTCACATTGAGCATCTCCAAATACCTCGAAAATGATACCCACATAGCATTTTTTTGAAAAAATCGTGCCCGCCATCTTGGATTTAGAAATGAGTGCCACATTCGTAATGAGCACCCCCAAGTACCTCGAAAATGATACCCATATTGCATTTTTTTGAAAAAATCGTGCCCGCCATCTTGGATTTAGAAATGAGTGCCATATTCGTAATGAGCATCCCCAAATACCTCGAAAGGGATACCATATTTTGAAAAATCGTGTCCGCCATCTTGGATTTACAAATAAGTGCTATATTCGTTTTTCATCGACAAAACCGAGCACATCTGTAGGCACCTGATCGACAATGTCGGGCAAATCTGTAGGCACCTTTAACTTAATGATGAGTTAAGCAAGATACAATTTCCCCACTTTTGAGGGAAATGTTATTCCATGGCATCATTATTTGTATATTTGTGTGCGTGCCGACGAGCGTAGTTACAAGTTGCTTACGCCTACATGAATTTGGTTTTTGCCTCACTTGTGACAGTTCGTTTGATATGAAACTATCATTCTATGCGTTATTATTCTAAGCTTAAATGTATATCATCTATTTTGTTTACCAAGAGCCATTTTTAGTAAATACTTAATATGTAAATTTCCAAACTTACTAAATAAATCTTACACATTTTCCAAACAAACTATATTAGTTTTAATTCCTTCAATAGTTTAGAAAAGCTTTCATTTAAACGTTCCAAACAGATAGTTTATCGACAGCTGATCGTTGGCGCATAGAATTTAAATAGGTAAACAGTGAGTGTTCGCAACACATGCCTGAACCACCGAACACCCAATAGTTCAGTAATGGCATTGGTATTGAAAACTATAACCCAGTTGCTACATTGTAGAATATCCATGCGTTCTAATTTTCCAAGAATACTCAATGATAGTTAAATTGAATTCATTATGTACGTTATGTTTATACCTACTGATCAGAATGCATAATGTTAACATAATCTAAATACCACGACTAGGGAAGAGTGATCTCCTCCTCCTGGTGTCGTTTAGATACCGTGCCAGTCTAATACGGTTGCACCATGTCTTCGATTAATTAAAAATTTTATCCGATACGCTTTTAAAAAAAGTAAATAAATGAACGCATAAAACACTATAACTTTAGCAATATTATAAAATATATAATTTTGTTAAAGTTATAAGAACATTCGCGAACTTTGATTAAAATTATCATGACTTATTCAGCGTTCGGGACTTGTATTAATAGGATTATGAGAATTTCCCATTTTCGCAAAACCTAACACGGGTTTGCAGTGTAAATTATGCCGTAGCGGAGGCCTATGTTCAGCAGTCGCCGTCTTTCACCTGAAACGATGATAATGATATACCTTAGCTCGTCAGTTTCGAGCTTGCTGAGTACCTCGGCATTTGTCACAAATTGGATACAACTTAATAAACAACAAACAGAGTCTGTAGTTGCAATTGCAAGTGCTACGACCCATTATAAACATATATATATTTTTTTGTAAACATACTTAATTTAATATTATATATTTAATGTAAATATTTAAATTAGAATTAATGTGTCACGAGAAATGGTGTTTACATGGAACCATATCCTAAAAACGTAAATTTAATTTGGGAACCATAGTTCTACCATTCAGTTGCTTCACGTTTAATTGATGACGCCATAAACTATCAATCAGAGTTTTACGACATGCAAAACAATCGTTCCTTGAAATCCAATTGTCTAGAAACAGCGACCTAGTAAGGCGGCTTTTTATAGACCGCATCTGAAACTGTTTAACCAACGTTTTAGGTAAGACAGTTCATTCATTTTTGTATTGAAAAATTTAGTACCTGACAGTCGGGTCCTAAATTTTGTATGTACACTGTTTTATGCATCTATTAATCTAAATGGGATAACGAGAATTTGGAAATTCACATAATATTTTATTTTTCTTCCCATTCAATCGGTGAGCACCTTTGGACAGTTGACAGGTAATCAAGACATGTTTGCCCCAATTTTGGACACAACATGTTTTTAAAAAATAATCATGCACTAACTTTTAGTACTTATGGAGATCATTGAAATAGAGTAATAAGATATTTACTTTTTAACCGACTTCAAAAACAGGAGGAGGTTCTCAATTCGACTATATGATTTTTTTGTATGTATGTTACGCGATAACTCCGTTACTAATTAAATAATTACTTCGACATTTGATGATCCGATATTGATGACTCTTTTTGTTGGAAAGAGAGTAACTCAGTAGTGGTCCCATTTAAATTTGATGAATATATTCCACCTCTAAGGGTGGCAAACTAGAGGATGAATTGGGTATCGCGCACTTTCCGGTAACCGATGTCAATAAAACTTGGCAAATAGAGTGATTCCACGAACTTTTTAATGTAAGTTTTTTTTTAGTACTCTGTACTGAAATTATATTTTATTTACTTAAACTTTATTACACACTAAACAGACAAATGGTGAATTTAATGCCATTAGGCATTCTCTACCAGTCAACTGGAGAGCTGGGTTCAGAATCAATATCAGGCGGATGGTACATAACGGACAAGCTAAAATTAAAAAACAGATATGATCAAAGTTAAGTATTTAAAAAAGATATTGTTTTCAATATTGATCGCAAGCTCAAAATGTTATTGGGAGCTGATGGTTATAAAAACTTTAGTATTTTTCAAAATGATAATATTTCAGTTATAAAAACTTTAGTATTTTATAACCATCAGTTCCCACTATCATTTTGAACTTTTGATCAATATTGTAGAGTTGAATTGAAATGTTAATTAGCGAAATTGTGATAGAATACATCATCGTCGTAGCAGCCGAAAGACACAACATACAGTTAAAATAAATTGACATACATAAATAAATACTAACCGAACACAAATTTCAAAATAAAGTCTTCTTGCGATAGCTAGACAAATGGTGAAAGCATAATTCTCCAAGAAACATGTTTATTTTGACATGTCTATCTTACACCCCGTGAACCGATGCCTAGCAGAACTGTCGGCCTAATTTTCTCTTCTATTTCCTGCTTCAAATCCAATAAATTTTTCTGTTATAACATTTATTGTAAACGTAATGTTACAAAGAAATCATTTACACTTTATTTTAAATTGTTTTGACAGTAATTAATGTCACTTTCATTAATTATGGCAATCCTGAAATATTGCAACAAATTCGACTTCTTACCTTCTTGCGTGATAATGGAAAATTTCGATAGTAACGCTGAATCTATAACTTCAAAGATTAAATGATATCTTCGAATATATTATTACGTGCAATGGTCTGTGACAAGCTAAAGCCTTTTCCTGAAGATCACCAGTCTCCTACATTTACAGATTTATTCATTAATAGTGACTTAGTAGTACTGGAAAATAACAGTTTATATATAGGTTAGTCTATGCGAAAATTTAATTGAAAGTAACGGGCATCAATAACTACCTTGACCGAAAAAAAACACTACAAAAACGAGCATTTGCTAAACGACTATGGAGTGGAATTCCTTGCCTGCAGACATTCTCTGAACGCTATAAATTAGGCCTATATTATTTTAAACACTACATAAACGAGTCAGGCTTTAAATTTAAAAATGAAATTGTGTCTATTTGTACCCAAGTATATAATGTATGGCTCTCTGAACAAACTTGCACAAAGGCATATGACACTATTTAATTCTGCGCAGCTGCGCGGGCGCGGGGTCGCTTTGACATTTGGCAAGTTCAAATGTCGTGGGAAGCGCTTCACCACGCGCGAATGCCAATTAAAGGATGGTTTGTGAAACCTAGATTTCTTGGGTATTTCTTGAGTAATAAAAGGTGATAAATATATGATACCAGTAAACTTAGTGTATAGTAGCAGTAGAGCTCCTTGTCAAAGAGTTCGTCCAGGGAAGTACTGTTACCTTTTTTATATAAAAACTAAGTGACGCGACGAACAAGTCATGCGCCTGATGGTAAGTGACACGCCTGTCCATAACAGTGCAGTACCACTTAGAGATTTAAATCACAAAGATCTGAGAGGCACTGCAACCATCACGCTGAGACATAAGTTGACAAGTCCCAAGTGCCTGCAATTTCATCTTAAGAATTATTTAAAGGTATTGGTTACTCCACATAGATTTGCGGCTATCCACAATAGCCCAATTCATGAAACAGGCATCGAGGAAAAACTTCGACTCTTCTATTCACCACCCCAATCCCCTCGTGGTGGCTGCTTCCAACTACTTCCCCCTCAGGGAAAACTTCCACGACCTCCGAAGTCTCCAACGACCATACTCTCGTCACTTTAAAGACTAACCAGATCGCTAATCAGTCCAACTGCCCTCGCCGGCGAGATCGTAGAGCCCCCCTCTGCAACACGTACACTAGTAAATTCTCTCCTACAGCACGACCTTCTGGCAGAAGTCCCTAGTAGCGCCCTGAATCGAGGTTTGTGCCCGCTACGTGGTTTAAGTATACTTTACGGATTATGAGCCTTCAGCTCGCCCATTTCTATCGATCAAAAAAAAGGCGCACAAAGTGTGGGTGCAGCGCATACGCAGGACATGCAGCGCGTTCGCGGCGCATTCGTTCGAAAAGATGTCATTTTGCAGATGACGACTAATGTAGACAATTACAGAAAAATAATTGTAGATAATAAATAATGAGTACAAAATTAAACATAATTACATTTACATGTAAATAGACTAAATGACGTATGAAGATTTTTTAAACCGAGTCATATTTATTTACATATCATTAATGACAAAAGCAAATGACACTGTTAAAGTAATTAAATACACCTTGTGATATGATTTAGGCAACGACCTATATCATGATGACCTCGCCTCGCAGAGGGTCTTTGTACTTTCGTAATTGTAGTAGAGCCCCTTGTGAAAGAGTTCATCCAGAAACACTGCCACTTTAACGATTTTTGCCGCCAAGCAGTAACATGTAAGCATTACTGCGATCCGGTTTTGAAGGGTAAGGTGCTGGTGACTTATCAACTTATGTTTCAGGGTAACATGACGGGCGTAGAGGCAGTACCATCAGTACCCCTCAGATCTTTACGACTTAAAGCTCTGCATGGCACTGCTACTGCTATTCGCTTACCACCAGGTGCACGATTTGTTCGTCCCGTTTCTTAGTATTGTAAAAAAATACAATATAAAATATTATGTGAAATTAAATAATTAAAACAGATTTTAATAATGCAGCTTCCCATAATTTTATTACCTAATTCTAATTTCAGGTATTAACAAGAGACTCCGTAACAGTTTCCGTAGACGCTGTAGTTTATTACAGAATTAAGGATCCTCTAAACGCTGTCGTAAAAGTAGCTGACTACAGGTTTGTATGCAATTATAATGCCTTCGAAATAAGTATTAAATCTATACAGGCAATACAACCACTTATTCCACGCAATGGATGCTGCTTGTGTACTGCGGACAATTTATTATAAGGTCACTATATTAACGTATTATATTAACGTAACTATACTATAAGGTATATTAACGACATCGTTAATATTGCTATTTCATAGAAACGTAATACTATATCTGTGAATGATATTATAGACATACATAAAATCGACATACTAGACGCATAAACATATTGCCGCTTATGAAAAAAGGTCGCCTCAATATATTTCTGTTTTCGTAATTGTTCCTAGAGCTTTGTTTTTGAGTACCTACAGTAAACGATATTCTCTACTATATGGTATATATTTTTAGCAATAGTAATAACACATTAATTTTTGTTACTTATAAAAATATTTGTTGTTTGTTGTGTAAAAGTTGTTGCCTAGTATAGAATTCAGATTCGCCTTTAATGTACGTGATTGCCGAAAGATAATATGAAAATTGTACAGTCAATATCAAAATGCACTTTTGTTCAAATATCAACTCCAGAGTAACGGAAATAGATCAGTCAATGTTTAGCTTCATGTGATGCCGGCATATCAAGCTAAATATTGATCACACATCCGTACATAAATAATTTATGGCTATTTTTAATATTTCTAAATAATGGTTTCCAGTGCCTCAACCCGACTTCTAGCAGCTACAACACTTCGCAACGTGCTGGGCATGCGAGATTTGGCACAGCTCCTCTCCGATAGAGAAGCCATCAGCCATATGATGCAAGCCAACTTGGACGTGGCCACAGATCCTTGGGGCGTGGAGGTGGAGAGAGTAGAAATGTATGATTCATTGTTTACTTGGTGGACTTATTTTATAGTTTTTTTTTTTTTGTTACATGTATCCCCATGTAAAACACATATAAAATTTCTGTTGAACTGCAATTGCTAACCCAAAATGCGGATTGTCGTAATACTACCCTTTTAGTGAGAACTCATCAAAGAACTAATTGGAAAAACATTTCAACACTCCTAGGCAGGAGATCTTGGATTCCATTCTACAACAGTGATTGTACCATTGAGTCTTTATTTATTTTTTACATTTTAGGAAAATTTACGGACTAATTAGAATTAAAATTGTACTTAAAGATGAGTAATCAAATGCCATTAACGAGTTTCCATGTCAAGAGACGCTTTAGACAAAATACCGTGATGAAATCTATATTTCGGACGCATGCGAAGTCCAGAACCAGTATATATATAGCGTATAAAATTATCTCTTTAAATTTCTGTGAGATGACCGGGCTTCTGCAGAGGGTTAATATCATGAATGCGATTGTGATGACAGGAAAACTACTTTATGCAGTAAAATATTGAGTGACTATTACAAAACTTTTCAGAAAAGACGTAAGACTGCCAGTCCAACTGCAAAGAGCAATGGCAGCGGAAGCTGAAGCCGATAGAGAAGCGAGAGCCAAGATCATTGCAGCTGAAGGAGAGATCAAAGCGTCCAGGGCTTTAAGAGAAGCATCGCTCATTATGATTGATAATCCTATGGCTTTACAAGTAAGCTTTAAGTTTGACTTCAAAAAAATATTGAATAGAATTCTGCGAATTGTTAGAATTCGAAATTTCTATACAGGTCGTGTCTTTACTGTAGAGTATACATCTGCACAGTAGTTAACAGTAGCTTCACGGAACTCAGAAATCACTACAACCACGATTTTTTAACGCTAATCTTTTTAACTTCCAGTTGCGCTACCTGCAATCCTTAAATACAATATCAGCGGAGAAGAACTCTACGATAATATTTCCATTCCCCATGGACTTTCTTAAGACTTTTATGGGGGGAGCTGGAACTAGCAATTCAACGCCTTTACCGTCGATGACTTTACCTATTTAATATTAAATAATGTATATTACGTATAAGTAACGCACAAAAGTGTCTAGTCAAATATGTTATAGTTATTTATACACATCAGTGCCCACGTAAGCGCTGACAAAACTTTTGATATCAATGTTTGTGTCACAGTATCTTCATTCATTTCAAGAATGAAATCTAACTAGTCAGTTTTCAAATGCCACTTGTAGACTCAACAGCACGCTGGACTGTAGACATCGAACCATTATTATCTTAAATGTTGCATAGAGTTTAATTTAAAACTTTAAGTTAGTTGGTTAGCACACAGTTAACATCATACACATGAAAATAAAGAAGCACTTAAAAGATCGTAACTCTTTTTTATGAACCCTACCAACAAACCGTAAAATCTAATTGAGAAAAAATCGATAAAGGAGATCCATCGTAAACTTTCAAAATTGGAATTGATAAACAATTTATTAGAGCCGATTTTGTACCTTTGCACTTTAACCAACGAACACCGTCTGGTAGTCCGTGTGTAGTCTCTGAAGATATGATATTACAAGATATAGGAGTGATGGGATATAAAACGACATTGTTAGAACATTTAGCTTGCTAAATGATGAACTCTGCTAGGAATTAAAATATTTTTTAGTAGTAGGTACTCATCAACAGTTTAATTTTAAAACGAACATTAATAAATAAACAACAACTTATTTCAAATAACACACAATAACCATGATCTTACCTACTCGTAAAGTTTTATCTTTATTTCGAATGTTATACAATACAAATAAGTTAATTCAAATCTAGTATATTCTAAAAGGACTTAATTGTCAGGTTTTAATGCAAAAAAGACATGAGATCACAAAGAAAAAAGACGAAATACAATCAACATATTAGTAATCAATTGCCAAGAAATGTGAAAATTAAAATTTTGTGAAATTACCTTTTTAGGAAACGAAACAGAGTACTTAATAAGTAATGGAAGTAAATAATATCGAGGAAGCTAATACACAATTAAAAAAACAATAATAAAATAATATAAAACAACAATACAAAAGAAGGAAATTAAACAAGATACAAAACAAAATCAAAATAAAATACAAACAGTTAGGAATTCACAAAGGAGTTGCCATCAACTATGATGTGGTAGCACAAAACTTGAAAGAATGTTGATAATAAATCTACTTTTTACAGAGAAATCACATATTACATACACACGTAAGATCAGGTTTACCATTACGTTAGCACTACACTAATACTCCCTGTCACTTTCGTCGTCTTTGTTACCGTAATGCACTGGCCTTTGGGCTTGTCCGCCGCCAGTCTGTTTATGGACCGTGGCCTGTAAAGAATGTGCATTATTATTATAATGTAATAGTCACAGTTCACACAAGAGCCATTTCTATGAAATAAGAAAGACAAAGTTATCCTTTTTTATACACGGATGAGTAAATATTTACCAAACATTAGCAATATCCTAAAATTCAATGAACATACATACGAAATCAATAAATCCCTTGTTACTGTTATATATACTCAATTAATAGCACCGTAACACATAATTACTACAAAAAAATGCAGCAATTTATTAGGTCACATTACATCTTATACCGGTCTTAATGCAAACCAAGCATGACCATACAGATTAAAGAATCTACCAGTTTTTAAATAATACGAACTTAATGGAACAGTATTTCGACATTCAATTGGATTTACTGTAACAATACTAACAATACCTGAATAAAATATAAACAGAAATAGTTCAATACGAGCAGAACATTTTATGGACTTCAATAATGGCAACATTCATTAATTAAATCGATCATGAAACATTGCAACTAGTCAAAAATATAACATATAAATAACAGGCTACACTGTATTATTTCCATGCGAAATATCGTTGTTCTGATCTTGTATAAAACAGCTCGAGACTGGATACCGGAAAATTATAATCTTAAATCTGCCATCCGCTAACTACAACGCAGATAAGTGAGAATTTTTTTTTTGCGATATCTTAAAAAACCATAACCCAGTTTTAAAATATTGAAATTGTTTAATGAAATTTCAGCTATGCATCGTTAGGATAAGTTCCTATAAGTCGTACACGTAAACTAATTTTAACTGTTTTCAAAAGAGAATTTTGTGCTCTATTTTTGCTATTGACCATTTGTTCGCGTTTTAGTTAGTGGACGGCAGAGATTAATACCGTACATTTGGTCAAAACACTCACCTGGAAACCGTTTTTGGGGTCAGCAGTATACCTAACAACACGAACGGAACCATCAGGCTCAACCAGCGAGTACTCTCCACTGACAACATCTCCGTCACGATGCTCCTTATGGTTCTGCAGATTACCTGTCAGAGGATCCTCTACACCGTAAGCGTAATGATAGTCGGGTTTGGCCTGAAAATAGAACATAGTATTTTTTTCCTTCTTTGATTTAGTTTTTGGATCGTAACTTAACACTGAAATAGTTAATTGATATATGCATAAGGGTGCTAATATGTACCTAACACTTGCACTCATCACACCTAGGTACATAAAGGCATTGAAAAACAACAAAATATGAAAGTAGATATTGAAATAAGGAATCCCGTTGCACCCTATACGAGAATTGTATCTTACTATTGTATATTGTATTGTGTTCCCAAGTGCAATAAAAATATTGTTTTGAATTAACTCGTAATTTTCAACAGGGGTTTGTATACTTGCCACATAATCAACAGTCTTCAAGTGCGCGTACTTCTGAGTTTCAGGGTCGATCTCTCCTCTATGATGGTCATAACCATAGCTGGCATGCTGCTGTGCTGCTATTTCTAGCGCTGCTGGCACTTGGACTTCAACAATTTGACCACTGACCGGCCCACTAAAGCGGTTATATGAGTAGCCACCGTGTTTTGCTGCTAGTGCCAGGGACACAACAGTCAGTAAATGTATGGTCTAGTAAATAAAAAACCTTGCGTTAACTTCGTATCGGTAAGGTGAGAATCGAAAGCTTTAGAGCATTAAAACGAATAAAGGCTTTCGTAATAACAAAAGCGAAAATCACAGAGTTCGTGATCTTGCTTTCAGTAAGCACGTAAATTGGAACGACCTTCATGGTCCATTGACACCAATGGCAAGTGACAATGAAAATCAGAAGAAAGTTGCTTTGACGGCGGTTAAGTGATCAACAATTAGTTAATTTTTCGGAAAGAATTGACATTTTAATTAAAGAAAAGTATATATCTCTCAGATAACATGTATATTAATTACGTAAGAGAAAATTAACATAACCTTTTCCTTGGAAGTTCTTTGCCCATTAGCGGGACGAGTTGATACAGTACAGTAGGTGTGAAATTAAAAAAATATAGTCGTAAACTTTAAGTAATTTATTGTTTACTTTAATCAGTGCAGTTAACCATTAGTCAAGCGTAAATTATTTAAAAAAGTGTTTCCTTCACCATAAAAGACGTCAATAATAAAGAATATATTTTATGGCTAAGTAAGCAATTTATAAATATTTTTAGTTTTACTAAAAATATCAAATTTAAATCTGCAGCCGACAAACTTTGTAAAAATATATCTCGGTAAATAATAACGACGAAAATAAAAATTTTGAGACTTAGACATTTAACTGGTTAGTTACAATAATCAGTGTTAATTACCTTGTATACAAAAGCCATTTTTAAAGAATAATAAAAATGGTAGTGGCTACTTTATAAGGATCCCGTCGGAACTGGCGTACTGATCACGGGGTCAGCTGTTTTATACCAAATAGTTAGATAAGTAAGAATAGGTGCAATCGTGAACTTGTCCAACGTGGTTGCGGCAAGCCTATGAAACAATAATTTTCAATATTCAGCACGCAGTCGAACGTTACAATAACGTAAACCTCATTGCGTATAGTTGTCTCTAGCCATAGAAACCGTTTGCGGTCGTTTGCCACAGCTTTGTAGTAAGTAAATAAGACTTTCTTAAGACTATTTAATTAATTATCGTAAAAATATCCACAATACTTACTAAAACATTCAGGACATTTCATCATTAGAATAATTTTAAATGTAAGTACATCAGCCGTTAATATATGGTTAATATACATTACCTACCTATAGATTATAATATACAGTATCACGAAATGACACAGTCCGTATACGTATATTATGTACTCGCAAGAGTATTTAAAAAAACTCTTTCATGATTTAAAAAAATTTCAGTTTCAAAAAAATTTAACCCCGACATAATTATTTTAGAATAAGGATAACACAAGCAAAAATATTAGGTTAATCTTACTTCTGCTTTTGCAACGTGTGGTGAATTGTATATTGTATGTACGGACAACAGCACATCAGACTACAAATTTTTGTTTGAAAATCACCTCCAGTGCAACGGAACAACATACGTCAATGTGTAGCTTGATGTACTTTTGACGTACAATACGCACGTGTTTATAATATTTAGTTTTTTTGTTTACTAGACAGGTAGTGCAGCTTTAATTTAACCGTAAGTAATTTTTCTGTACCTTCAGATTTCTCATTGAACTGGGTATACGTAATATCTCTTACATATTGTGAACTGGGTTTCCGACACCATTTTTCGTTACAAACTTACAAGGATCCTTAGCCTTGAAAATTCTTATTTTTTTAGTCACCAATTATCTATTTCATTTCTAACTGTCAATGTCAATTTCAGAAATTCCGCGGCAGCATGTTAAGTATATACACAAACTAATAAGAGATACTACGTAGTATATATAAATATATACATCACCAAACACAGGCTTGTTTAGCACTTGCTTATCAGCCTTTGTTTATCAGTCGATAAGACTTGTTTTCTATGATAAATGAATATCAGAGAGTCAATAAATTGACAAAACTCAAATAGTCAATATGAGTTCTTCAAGAAAAAAATTGAAAGTTGAACATTCTCCAAATACATTGAAACGTCATGGCAACGAACAGGAATTTGCGGGCATAAAACGCGCTAAAGTCGAAAAAGAAAATGATGTCCGCACTTGGAAGAGAAAGAACTTCGTTGCTGCGTGTGAACAGGTGTCTTATAAGGAGTATTGTAACTTTGAAAATCGCTTACAATTAATTTATTTACCCGCTTGCTTGAACGAAAAGAAATGCTGCCATCAGGACGATAATCAGGTATAATCCTTAATTATATTCTAGTCTAAGTTCAATTCCTTGTAACTCCAGTTGAGGGAAATGTTCTAAGTAGCAGTAGAGCTCCTTGTGAAAGAGTTTGTCCACGGATATACTGCCACCTTACCTATTTCTGCCGCCAAGCAGTACTGTCAGCATTGCTGTGTTCCGGTTTTGAAGGGCAAGGGTGCTGGTGAAATTACAGGCACATGGGACTTGTCAACTTATGTCTCAGTGTGACGGGCGCAGTGGCAGTGTCAAACTGGATTTCTATCCCTCAGTGCTCTTATCAACACTCAACTGTTGTGTTAGTTAGTGTATTTGAAATTCATCACATCATAGCATTTTCAATTTTATATGTTAAAAAATAGATTGTCACAATGTTCTAAACATTGTAGAATGAAAATAAAAACAGTATCTTAACAATAAGACATAGCCGATTATCCTAAACATTTGTAATTAAGTTAGAACAGTTTAGAAAATCACAAACAGACATAAAACTTTAAACAAGGTCAAGGAAATTGAAAACTTTAAAATTAATTTCTGTTGCTCAATTCCCTTACCACTATGGTCTATTTTAAGAGGCCAAACTTTATTAGTTCAAGTTGGAGTTTAGTTATGAAATGTCATTGTGTGTCTCAATCTCTAATAGGTAAAGATAGGAATTTTTAACTTGGTTAATCTTGCACCACATAATTGTCTAGCAATATATGTCCTTGCTCCTAAACTCCATCTAACTCAAAAGTGACCAAACCATAAGTTACACAAGTTGTTATGCATAAGTAAATTTGCTAGATACTTGAAGTATCACATTACAAATATTAAATTTAAAAATTAAATAGAAATAGTTTCAATTATGTTTAGGAAATGAAACTATTTTTTGAGATCTAATTCGTGTGCATTTGTTTTTTCAAACAAACCAGCATTTCGGGCCCTTTACAGGTCTCATGGTCACGGCTGACAGAGATGGTAAAGTCATCAACCAGTATGTCTAATCTTAATGCAAACCACATATAGTTACAAAATATGATTGATTAAATAACTTTTTTTTTAGTTTTCCAAAGAACATTCCAGTTCAACCTATATATGTTTTACATTTTGTACAAACCTAAGAACCTCATTTATATTGTTATTTGGTTTCACATTTGTAACTTTCAGGTTTACGTAAAGGAGATACCAAATAACATTGAGGAGAGAATAAAGACTGAACTAAACACAAACATGTGGTGTGAGGCTTTAGAAGTGTGCCAACTATGCATCTCACATGAACAATACTTATCTGCTGCAGTTCTTAAAGAAATTGTTGAAATTATCATGGTAAATGTTATTGATTCTGTTTTACAACTGCTTTTATCGTTTTTAATACAGTATTATATTTGGTGAATTGTAAGTAATTGTTTATTGTCAAAGAAAGAAAATGTAGTATTTATAAACTGAATTATCATTTATGTCTCAATACATATTTATTTATTTATTACTTATATTGCTGATTAACATGATAAACTTACTAACTAAATAAAAACATACAACATACTTAATATTACTCAAATTACTTTCCTGTTAACTCGGTCACTTCAGCTTGTTTTAAGACATAGGCTTAATTTTCCATATCTCCCTAGCTCTTGCTATTGGCCTCCATGCTCCCATTCCCATCTAAAATAGCATGGTCATGATGGTCTCCTTATCTTCCATCTCAATAGATTACTTATGTATTAAGTCTCTTCTATGATGCCAGTTTTTATTCACTAAAACCAGATACAAATATCTATGAGACCAAATAGATTTGAAATAAAATGTAACAAGATTTAAATAAAAATAATTAAACAAGGTTGGCTTGAAAGTTACGTCAGGCACGAGGCACATGCCCAGCATAAATGCTGCAATTGACTGCTATTGTTTTAGCAATTTAACACAACTAGATGCACTGGAAAATTCCATTACTCCAGACAGATGATAACTGGCTATTGTCGTCAAAGTAATATAGATATACAATAATACTGACTGCTTCTATATAGTAGAATCTTTATTTATTTTAAACATTATTTTTAAGTCCTAAGCAAATAAAAAAAGATAATTATTTTAATTATTATTTTGAACCAATTATACCATAACTATATCTCAATATTAATCAATGTTTTTGTAACATTTCAGAATGTACATGAAGACAATTTCTTTGGGTACACTGCAGATGATGTAATAAAGCAAGCACGCCAGATATTAACTTTAAACTTCAGTGCACATCCCCCTTGTAACAATGGACTGAAAAAGTTATACAAAACACTCCTCACTTCACCCATGGGCCTCAAAAAAAACACATTCACTAATAGGTCAGATTTTCAATGTGACAAGGGAATAGTGATATATTGCATGAACAGGTTAGTTAAATGTTTTTACTCAGTACAAAATATTTAGACACATATTAAACATTATAATCTGATAACCTCAGTAGGCTAACGGTTTTCTCTATGGATGCGGAGGTCCTGGGTTCAATTCATATGAATAAATTTTCTGAATTGGTTCTGGCCTGGGTGTTCTGGGAAGTGCCCCAGAGTGAATTCCGTTGCTCTGGTGCTCATCATAATTATCATCCCTATTTTGAGACCAGGCAATTGGTATTGTAGTCTGGCCCATTATTATTATTATATTGTTATCATAATCAACCTGTTTTGAAAGTAAATTAAGCATCCACTTCTACTAATTATAAAGTTATCAAAATTAATTATTTATTTACAATATAATGATTTACAGAAAATAAATATATCTCTTACATTTTAGACTAGAATATGAAATTAATTTGGACAGCAAGGATGAACCTTTAGTTGACAAATGTCAAAATATCCCAGAGGACATGAAACAAGGTGTCAAAGGTGTATATTGGCAAAAGGAAAAGTTTGAAATCTTTGAAGTTTTGGCAAGACCCGAAAGGATACGAAGGATAATGGCTGTGTTAGATACAATTGTCGAACTTTTGCAATTTGATTTAGCTCTTTGGTATTCAAGGTTGGTTAAATTTTTCGTTACTTTTTTGCATTGGTTATCAAGAAAGGATAATGTTTACTTTTACATTTGTAGTGTACTGTACATTTCATGCTGTACATGCATATAAGTGGATATCTTTTACCTTTAGTAAACAGTATTGGTGTTATCAAATGTATTTTTATCTAAAAAACACAGAAGAGAAGCGCTTATTATTTTTATTAGAGAGGTTTCATTCAGGACCTGCGCAGCCCTTGATCACTATGACTGTTAATTGATCCATTGTAATCACCACTAATGACTATTCAGAGCCAAGCCAAGACATAGTTTAAAAACTGAACTATTCTCCCGACTCCAACTGTTTTGATCTCCTTTGTTTGTGGCATGTGCTTTCCCAGTATGGAATTTCGCATGCCTGTCAAGGGGCAACATCGGGTAAGCAGCTGCAGAGGAGTTTCATCCACTTTGTGACAGAATCTATATTCTCTCCCACAGCTGAGAGTTGTGCTTGCTAAAGTAACCAAAGAAAGTTTTTGAACCGTGTTATTCTGTATCAACTGAATGTTTATTCTACCTATTAATGATATAATCTACCTTTGATAAAATTACACTCATTTTACCTCACATGCTTCCAGATATACCACTGGTCTCGAAAAACACTTGGTGAGATCACACAAGCCCCTAATGGCATACATATTAATGTCTGATGTGTCACATACAAATGGAGTAAGCAACATTTGCAGGCAGTTTTTGCAGCTTTTTTCTTATATGGTACACTTGAGATATCCTGAGGACCATATTAGAATAATGACTGTGAGTATACCAATTAATGATATTAAAGATATAGTATTTTCTCACATACATTATGTAAAGGGAAAAATAATGTTTACAAACACTTTACTAAAGTAGATGATCTTCAAAATAATAAAAAAAATGCACATACAGAGAGTTCCACAGCTATAAGACATGGACGGAAAGTTCTTTAAATATTGTTGGTAGGCTAGTTTGCTTCATGGAGATATTAGTTTTATTTTTTTAAATAAGTAATAATGCATTCTAAGGGTGCCTAGACTTGTACAACACCACTGATAATGCTGTGTCAAGTGCTGAGTCTGGTCCTTACAAATATAAACGTCAGAGTCGACACGAGAAGAAGAAGAAGGACGCCTTCAAATAAGACGCTTAGAAGCACAGCTGCAGCCACAGTTACGCCACTTTTATAGGCTTACTAACTAGATGTATGAAAATTAGAAGCACCACTGCAGTGCTTCTATAAGCGTCTAATTAGAAAGTGCCCTAAGAAAACAAGTTTGGCCATCTAGAAATTAAAGCGACTAAATGTAAGAAAAAACCTGTATTTGTATGATGCCGATGGAAAGTGTCAATTAGAAAGATTAATATGTAAAACTAGTACATAGTAAAAATTTTGCGGAATGAAAATGTAATGTTTTGTATAATTTTCCTCAGCAAACAGTTATGTTGTTATTATTGTTACTTACTTTGTATATTAAGCAATATCAACCCCGATTTTGTTTGGTTTCAGACATGGCTCAACATAATAATTCAAACATACTACATCTGTGAAAGTCATTCGAACAGTGACTATCCCAACACTGCAAGGTACTGCATAGCCTTTGCCAAAGAATTCTGTAAAATTATTGCAGGTAATTAACATCTTTGTGCTACTTTCTAAATGCTCTATAATCTGACAAGTTACTTTCTTGACGACTTCCGTGGTCGAGTGGCTTGCAGTCTAGTTTGCATTATGTCGCCATATCTAAAGTCGTGGGTTCGACCTCTGGCTAAGTCAATGTAAAAAACTTTTCTATATTGTCTCTGGTCTGGGTGCTTGTGGTTCCGTCGATGACTCCGATTTCCATAAGTGCTTTAGTTACTTACTTTGGGATCGAAGCAACATATGTGATGTTGTCTAATATTTATTATTTCTTCTTCCATCTTTTTTTACAGATCTTCCAAATAAAACAGTAATACAAATACTGAACACAATCCAGCCTTCCTTCATGGTAAACCTCATAGGAACTCTTTATATCCAAACATTATTGAACACACAGGAAGAAAACATACTCAAGATTTTTCTCAATTTCATCAACAAAAAGAAATGGAAGGATTTTTTAGAGAATGATACTGATATTGAGATACCAAAAAAGTCAATTATCAAACCAAAAAAAGTAAAGGATGTTCTCAAATATCTTACTAAAGCATGTGAGACAATAACTCTTTCAGAATCTAAGGAGTGCGTTGAAGACAATATTTACAGGAAGTTTGATCACAATGCAATTGAAAATGATCCTGAAATTACCCTACATGAAATTGTTCTTATCCTATACATCACTATGGAAGCCTTTTTGGATGCTCATAGTGTCCAATTGGTTCAAGACAAAATTGAAAATCTAAATGAAAGATTAACAGAAATGGCAGGTGATGTGACAAATAAAAGTACCATATCAGAACATTGTTCATATTCTGTAACAGAACACTTTATTAAACGTTACAGAACAATATTTCAAGTTTCCACTGAATTGGTATCTAAACTATACAAATTGAAAGAAAGTAATGAGTTACCTCCTTGTGTATTGAAAATATCAAATGCTTTAGGTTTTATAGAGTAACAGTAATTTTTACAAAGTATGTAAAAAGATAATTATATATAGGTATTTATAATTTATAGTACTATTAAGTGGACTGTTCAGTGTTGGGTAATTTTCACAAAAAAATCTTCAAATGTTTAAAAAAAAAATTCTATAAATATTTAGTACTTTTTCTTAAAAATATTGGAAATATAATATAAAAAATATGAAAATTACAAATAGATATTGAGATTTTTGGTTGCAATATGGAAATTTATCCATGACTCAACACTCGCTATTATATTTGGTTTTGTCACAATTACAATTAAGTTTAAAATATAGCTATGGCTTTGTGTCTAATAATAATATAATTAAAGTCTGATTGTTAGATTTTATTGTAGTATTTGTTGAAATTACCATAGTGAAATAAAACAAGAATATTTATACTACCATGTTTAATACTTAGGATCAAAATGTCCTCTAACCTTTTTAGTACGCTTTGCTTTCTCTAAATCCACATCAGGATACTGTGCTTTCAATGCCTCCACATCTACATTCGGAAATCTCTTCAACAAATGCTGAACATGGTTGTAGTCTCTGTTTCTCGCCTTTTTTGCCTCCACCCTCTGTTTCTCTCTATATAATCTGAGAAATTTCTTCACTGCAAGGCTAGTTACTACACCGTGTTCGTAATAGTTCTTGACCCAACGAATATTCATAAACTTAGGGATATAATACTCTTGCTTCCTGTACTCTTCGGGCAAACCCAAAAGATTCACAATTTCTTCCACTGGTCGTTCACCGGTTTCCCCAGTCTCTAATTTATAATATGCGACGTTCCTTTCTCTTATTACTTTCTCAATATTTTCCATAGACTCTTGGACTTTGTCTATCCGTTCAGGACTGGGGAATAAACGCATCTTTTCATTGCATTCCTGTTCCATTGTGAACAACATATTTCTCTCCTTTAATAATACATACCAGAGTTTGTGCAAATCTGTGTTAGACTTTATCCTTAACTCGTCCAGATTCCAAGCTCTTCCTACCTTAATAGTTTGCTCACCCCAGTTCTTCTTTGCATCAAAAAATTCCATAAGATCCCGGTTACAATTTGTCGTATGTATCTTTTTAGCTTCTGCAACAGCGCAAACGTGTGAAGTATTTTGTGAGCGGTAGCATAATGCTGCTGTGTTTCTGAATAAGTTCCTGATAAGTGTAAAATTCATTTTATGAAATTCTAATTATTTTATTTACGTAAACACAGTCTTCAGGAAGCCTGTTAAATTGAATGAATGATTTATCTCTAGCTCTACAAACGAACGAATGAACAATAGAAAAAACACCTTTTTTTGTTAGTTTATCCCTCGAAACTCGTATCCGAACATCAGAAAGCGTTTTGTTATGGATTGTAATGATTTTGATTGTGCATCTTAATAAAAGTAAACATTGAATAATTTCTTACGGAATCAATAAAATAATAGTAAAAATTACTTCAAGTAATTCCCTCAAAATTACATTTTTCTCTTCTTAAATAATAAAATCAACATAGTATGATTTAATTTAAAATGTAAACAAATTCAAACATGACTCGTGTGCAACAACTAATCGTAAATTAATGTCTGTCTGTCGGCCCTGCTATGTTAATGTTGCTTTGCTATTTCTTTGGACAAAAGTTAGAGAATTTCGGTGAAAATGGACAAATAATTCCACTATCAAGTGATATTTTGTACATTAATAGTTAAGTTTTTAGTGGCAAGTTATGTAAATTTTATTTAGTGCTTGTTTTTAGTTTTTTGTGGAAACTTGTCATCGGCAACGATTCATCGAAAGGTGAGCTTTTTTAGTGCTCTATTTTTATTAATTTTCTAAAGTTTGTTTAGCACACTTCGTTGTTAGACCTTCATATATTTACCATTTATATTTTTATTGACGTTGTCGTGACAAAGAATTGTTTTAACATTTTTATTTACAATGTACATTGTGGAACTTAAACAAATAAACAGGAACGTTTACTGTAGCGTTTTGATTGTGTAATGTTACAATAAGTGTACTTGCCATACATTCGCTAATAACAACATTTGCGTATTGTTCATTAATTTAATGAAATACACTGTCTGTATGGGAAATGCAATAACAACAACAGTGAAATAAAGCTTAAAGTTAAATTTTGTATAACTTAGATTAAATTTATATGCTTTCATTACTTATGTATAAAATATTTTTAATCAATATTTTGAGATATAATAAAAATTTCAACAGCTTTTGCTCTTTTTTCAATCTCTTATTGCAATTTGAAAAAATAATTCTTAAGATTGTAATAAATATTAGTTATATTTAATATTTGTAATTTTAATAAAAATTTTTTTAAAGAGAAATCGTAGTAAAGCTATAACAAAAGTTTCATTTGTTTTAATTGTGGATGTAATTAATAATTGCTTTATTTGCTTAATCATATATTTTCGCAGTTAACCTTTATGTTACAATAATACAATATTCATTAGGACAGTTTGATGCGGCTTGGCTAAATAATACCTTCTACACAGAAGGATTAAGAATTTACTTAATATGAATTGATAATGACAACCTCAATGACCTTCTGGCTTGCACTACAGGCACTGGATGACAAGGTCCTCGGTTTGATTCCCAATAGGACCAAATAGGGAAATGTTGGGGTTTTCTAGATAAAAGCCCCGGAGTGAACACCAATGTTTTAGTATTCTTAGTACTGGAAACTACCAAGTTTGGATTGGACAATTGGTGTGCCTGTGCAAAAAAAATATAAACAAAACAACAGTAATTTAATGAAATATGTGATAATATTTCTTTTTTTTCTATTCACATAAATAATGCTGCAAAATGATTTTAAATTAAGTGAATACCAAATGTCTAAACTGAATAAACATTTCAGCTGTGTATCTATGTTTGTGAGTAATAGATATAATATTTATTTTTTATATGACAACAAGTGACGGGACGAACAATTTGAGCTCCTGATGGTTAGCTACACGCCTGCCCATAGCAGTTGCAGTGCCAACCACTCTGCAGCTTTAAATCACAAAGATATTAGGGGCACTGCCACTGCGCCTGTCATCCTGAGACTGAGTTGACAAGTCCCATGTGCCTATAATTTCAACAGCACCCTTAACCCTTCAAACCTGGAATACAAAGTCCTTACCAATGGTGGGCAGGACATAAAACAAGATATCCAAAACTAGCACCGTTAGCACGAGCGTTTGTATGTGCACCTGCAAGCACTGTGTATAGCGAGCGATTATTTTCCGAAGCTGGTAATGTGTATGAAGAAAAAAGGAACAGACTATTACCTGAACGCGCACAAAGCCTTGTATTCCTACATCATAATTTGCCTTTGTTAAATTTTAAATATTAATAATGTAAAATTTCTTTGCTACAAATTGTTACAATTGTCTATAATTCCTAGTAATAAATCTCTTTTGATTGTTTGAAATATATTGTTGGTTTTACTTTATTATGTCTATAGCTGTAATGCTTTATTTTAACCGACTACTCTTCTCATGAACCGAGTTATTCGGCCGAGTACGAGTAGTAATAAAACGGCCGAGTACACCGAGTACCGAGTAGAAAACGAGTACTCGACGCATCTCTAGTAATGTATAATATTTAAAAAGTTTTGCTATTGTAAGTAAAAAATAACTAATTTGATTAGATTTTATTGCATTTTAATTTTCATAATTCCAGAATATCAGAGGGAGGCACTATCCACTCTATATCTATCACTGTTTACGTATACTTCCCAATACTTTTCAGCGATATTTACCCTGTATATCGCATAATGGCTTCCGCTGTCTATACGTCGAAAACCACACCTAAACGTTTACTAATTTTAGTTATATGTGTACACATAAACATTTGTCCTACATATAGGTGAACGACGCGCCCTTGTATGCGGTTTCTAATTATTTGTGACAAATTATATATACAAAATGTGGGAAGTAAACTTTCACCGAGAGCTGCTGATGCTGGTGATGTTATCAGAATCGCATCACACATATTCAGGAGCGAAAATACAAAATAGAAGCACGTCATACGTAGAATTAGAGAATAATACGCGTACTACCTGTTTACAAATTCACGTTTTCTTATCTTAAGTGGGCTAAAGCCAGTAGAGACTGAGAATGACCCGTTAAACAGTGTAATGTCTCAATTGACAGCTACCCGCGGCCGCCTTAAACATTTTACGCGGTAATATACGCTTATGATGACAGCCGACCGTGCTTTGCGAGACACATTTCATAGTGTAATCTTTGCTTGCCTACTTCGGTGAAACAAAATTTTCTACATGTACTAATTGTAAATATGTTTTTCTTGTTTTACGTTGCATTGTCAATCTATGTTACAAGATACGTGGTCGGTTTCAGTTTACGGGGTGTATGAGCACACCCCGTAAAGCTCTTCGGTGGCACAGCAGTTAGTACTATTGGCGCTTGATGAGAGGTTGATTCCCGATTTATGCCAATTTAAGAAACGAACATTTCTAAGTTGGTTTTGGTCTGAGTATTCTGGGTTATCGTTGATTTGGTATTCATAGTACCTACATAGTACAGGAAATTGGGCAGTAGTTTGGCATTTTTTCCCCCTAAATACTTCTCTTTGGCATAGCTTTCAAGAAAATGAAATCTAACATAGAGACGGTTGAAATACAACAACGCTATAATAAGTATCTCATTTCCACTACATCGGGAAGCATGCTTTACATATTTACAATTGTGAGATATTGTACTCGTAATCTATTACGTCTCCGTATATTATCTCCTTTTGAAGGCGTGCGGACGCTTCGGGCTTCGCCCTCCGCGGACCTTGGCCTCCGGCCTCGGCACTTCTGGCTTTGTTTTAAAAAAATTGAAATAGCACTATAATGGCGGCCATATTTAAAAATTGCAAAAATATATTTTGACCACAATTATTATCAAACAATCTTAGAAATCTTTTCGTGCTAATTTTCAGTCCGAGCAAAGCAAGTTTTTTCAATTTTTACCCCAAATTGTGATTGAAGCCATGCCATATTCAGTCGAATTAGAAGAAATTTGACGAAAAAAACGCTTATATTACAGCCATATTAAAAAATGACGAAAAGAAACTTTTGACCCCCAAATTATGGTTAAGGAATCCTAAAGACCCCCGCATACCAATTTTCAGCCCGATCGAAGCAAGTTTTTCTTCGGCCGCCATTTTGAATTCGCCATCTTGTTTTTTTTAACCCAGGCAGTTGACCACTATTAATCTCTATGACATTCCTTCGAGCACCTCCTTTTTTTTTCCTACCTATCTCTAATACTTTCCGTGATAGGAGACGTTGAAATTTGTATGGCGGCCATCTTATTTATTTGAATTTCGAACATTTTTTCTTCCGGCGGAAATTGACCAGAGTGTACCTCATAAAAGTGCACAAATATTCCTTCCATATATTATAGTTTTTGCAGGCCGTTGATCACTCTTTCATATTTTCCACATTTAGGTCTTCTCATATTTGATTCTTTGCTTTGGAATCTATCCGCGTACAACGGTATAAATATCTTTTTTCCACCATATCGGGAAGTATGCGTTCTATTTCTATCAGTGAGTAAGACCATGTAGCTTTATATATATAATAATAATACATATATACATATAGTAATATCGTAGGTTGAATGAATTAATTGATAAATATTATACGTCTTATTTTAAATAAATTCTACTGTATTAACTACGTTTCTGTTTAATATTCTGTATTAGTCATCAAAGTCTAACTAAACCCAACTCAATCATTTGACAGGGTTAGTCATCTCACCAAGGCATGTGATGTTTATTATAAATTCTAAGCTCGAACCATGTTAAATTTA